AAAAAAAAAACAAAAACAAAAACAAAAAAACAGAGTTCCCATTCCTCCATATCCTCACCAATATGTTATTATTTTGTCTTTTTAATGAAGTTTAATATTCTTTCATTTGCCCGTTGGCCATTTGTATGTCTTCTTTTGAAAAATGTTTATGTCCTTTGCATGGAATTATTCTCGGGAAGGGATTTGTTGTTGAGCTGTTTTGAGTTTCATGTAAATTCTGGAAATCAGCCCCATCAGATGCATAGTTTGCAAGTGTTTTCTCCCATTCTGCAAGATGTCTGTTCACTCTGTTGATTATTTCTTTTGCTGAGCAGGAGCTTTTTAGTTTTTAATTAAGTCCCAATGATCTACTTTTTTGTTGTTGTTGTTGTTGCCTGTGCTTTTTAAGATCTTAGTCCCAAATTTATTTTGTAAACCAATGTCTAGAGTTTTCCCTAGGTTTTCTTCTAGTATTTTTTATAGATTCGGGTCTTGCATGTAAGTCTTTAATTCATCTTAACTTGACTTTTGTATATGGTTAAGAGACAGGGGCTAGTTTCATTTTTCTGCATATGACAATCCAATTTTCCCAGCATCATTTACTGAAAATGTCCTTTCCCCAGTATACGTTCTTGTCGACTTTGTCAAAGACCAGTTAGCTGTAAATATGTGGTTTTATTTCTGGTCTCCCCATTCTGTCCATTGATCTATGTATATTTTTATACCACATCATGCTGGTTACTATAACCTTGTAGTATAATTTGATACCTCCAGCTTGGTGATTGCTTAGGATTGCTTTGGCTATTCGGGCTCTTCACTGGTTCCAAATGAATTTTAGGAGTTTTTTTTCCCTATTCTGTAAAAAATGACATTAGTGGGCAGTGCCTGTGGCTCAGTGGGTAGGGCGCTGGCCCCATATACTGAGGATGGCATGTTTGAACCCAGCCACAGCCAAACTGTAACAAAAAATAGCCCAGTGTTGTGGTGGACACCTGAGGCAAGAGAATCACCTAAGCCCAGGAGTTGGAGGTTGCTGTGAGCTGTGATGCCACAGCACTCTACCGAGGGCGATAAAGTTAGACTCTGTCTCTTAAAAAAAAAGATTGCACTGACTCTCTAGATCGCTTTGTGCAGTATGGTCATTTTAACAATACTAATTCTTTCAATCCAAGAGCATGTATGTTTTTCCATTTATTTGTATCATCATCTACAATTTCTTTCATCAGTGTTTTAGTTTTCCTTGTATACGTCTTTCACCTCTTTGGTTAAATATGTTCCTAAGTATTTTATTATTTTTTGCAGTTATTATAAATGGGATTGGTTTCTTGATTTGGTTCTCCGTTTGACTGTTATTGAAACATAAAAATGCTACCGATTTTTGTACACTGATTTTGTATCCTGACACTTTACTGAATTCATTTACCAAGTCTTAAGAGTTTTCTAGTGGACTTTTTGGGTTTGGGGGCCTTTCTAGATGGAAGATCACACTGTCAGTGAACAGAGCTAATTAAATTTCCTCCTTTATTTCTTTCTCTTGCCCGATTGCTCTGGCTAGGAGCAATCTATCTTCAACAAAATTAGTAAAAGCAGACATCCTTCTCGTGTTCATTTTTAGAAGGAATGCTTTCAACTTTTTCCTATTCAGTGCAATGTTGACTATGAGTTTGTCATGTATGGCCTTTATTACTTTAAGGTATATTCCTTTTATAACTAGTCTGTTGAAGATTTTTACATGTATCATGAAAGAATGCTGGATTTTTTTTTTTTTTTTGAGACAGAGCCTCAAGTTGTCCCCATGGGTAGAGTGCCATAGTATTACAGCTCACAGCAACCTCCAACTCCTGGGCTCAAGCGAGTCTCCTGCCTCCGCCTCCCAAGTAGCTGGGACCACAGGCATCTGCCACAATGCCTGGCTATTTTGGGGGGGGGGGGGTTTGCAGCCATCATTGTTGTTTGGCAGGCCCGGGCTGGATTCGAACCCGCCACCTTAGGTGTATGTGGCTGGTGCCTTAGCCACCTGAGAATGCTGGATTTTATCAGATGCTATTTCTGCAATTTTGAGATGATAACATGATTCTCATTTTTCATTCTATTTATGTGATGCATCGTATTTATTTAATTTATTTATTTATTTATTTTTTGGTAGAGACAGAGTCTCCTTTTATCTCCCTCAGTAGAGTGCCGTGGCATCACACAGCTCACAGCAACCTCCAACTCCTGGGCTTAGGTGATTCTCTTGCCTTAGCCTCCCGAGTAGCTGGGACCACAGGCACCCACCACAACACCCAGCTTTTTTTTTATTGCAGTTTGGCTGGGGCCAGGTTTGAACCCACCACCCTCAGTATATGGGGCCAGTGCTCTGCCCACTGAGCCACAGGCGCCACCTGCATCATATTTATTGTTTTGCATATATGTTCAACCATCCTTGCACTCTGGAATAACACCCACTTGATCACAGTATTGATCAAAAGACAGTATATTATCTTTCTGATGTGCTGTTGGTTAGCTAGTATTTTGTTGGGGATTTTTGTATCTATGTTCATCAGGGATATTGGTCAACAATTTTCTTTTTCTGCTGTGTCTTTGTCTGGTTTGGGTATCAAGGAGATACTGGCCTCATAGACTGAGTTAGGGAGAATTCTCTCCTCCTTGATTTTTGGAACAGTTTCAGGAGGATTGATATTAGTACTTTTCCGAACACTTGATGGAATTCTACTGTGACTCTGTCTGGTCTGGGGCATTTCTGGGGATCTGGGAGATTTTTTATTATAGATTCAATCTTGTTACTTGTTATTGGTCTATTTGGGATTTCTGTTTCTTCCTTCTTCAATCTTGGAGGTTGCATGCTTACAGAAATTTATCCATTTCCTCTAGGCTTTCAGTTTGTGAGTGTACAGACGTTTAGAGCAGTCTCTGACTATCTTCATTTGCCTTTTTTTTTTTTTTTTTGGCTGTTTTTGGCCAGGTCAGGGTTTGAACCTGCCACTCCTGGTATGGGGGGGGCTGGTGTCCTACCCACTCCTTGAGCCACAGGTACCACCCATCTGACAGTCTTTTGTATTTCTGTGGTATCAGCTGTGATGTCTTCTTTTTCATTCTGATTTTGTTTATTTGCATCTTCTCCCTTCTTGGTTAGTCTAGGAAGCAGTTCATCAACTTTTAATCTTTTCTTTTTTTTTTTTTTTTGAGACAGAGCCTCAAGCTATCCCCCTGGGTAGAGTGCCATGGCATTACAGCTCACAGCAACCTCCAACTCCTGGGCTCAAGCGAGTCTCCTGCCTCCGCCTCCCAAGTAGCTGGGACCACAGGCGCCCGCCACAACGCCCGGCTGTTTTTTGGTTGCAGCCGTCATTGCTGTTTGGCGGGTCCGGGCTGGGGATTCGAACCCGCCACCTTAGGTGTACATGGCTGGCGCCTTAGCCGGTTGAGCTATAGGCGCCGAGCCAACTTTTAATCTTTTCAAAGAACCAGAACCAACTTTCCACTTCTGTATTCCTTTGTTGTTGTTTTTTTAAGTCAATATTTCATATAGTTCTGCTCTGGTCTTTATCATTTCTGTACTTCTGCTAGCTTTGGGTTTGATAGTTCTTGTTTTATCTAGTTCCTTGAGATGTGATGTGAGGTTGTTGATCTGTGATCTTTCTACTTTTACTACTATAGGTATTTAATGCTATAAACTTCCCTGCTACTGCTACGATTTGAGTGATTTTTATTCTTAGGCTAGTGAAAAATTGTTTTTTAAATGAAATTTAAAGTAGGACCACCTGAAATTAAACTATTTTTGTGTTTTTAACTAATACCGTTAACAAAAATCTCTGAGTTAAAGCCAGAAGTTCATATATAAACAATCATAAAAGAAAATCTTAAAGACTAATTTAAATAAATTTACAGAGTCAAGATAGGACATTTTAAAAAAGAAAATTAAATCTAGGATAAACTATATTTACTACTAATATAAGAAATCCAATTATATCACCTTCCACTATTAATAGGTGTAAGAACAAGACCGTAAGTAACACAATTATATACCAAAGCCTTCAAAATCATCATTGCATTAGTTTTCCAAATGTAAAAGAGGGAAAAAGGCTTCATTTTTCTTATGAGACTAAACTGATTTAATTTGATTTATTCAAGCTCCAAACATACACACGTTCATGTCCACTCAGGTGTATGTGTGTATATCATGTACATATCACAAAAGTGATAAAAGGAGAAGGTAAGTAGCTTTGTGTAAGTTACTTAAGTTGCAGGATTAGGCTATAATAAACACAGACTGTCTGACTTCCAAGCTCATGCTCTAATCATTATGTTCTGTTGTCTCTGTAAGTAAGGGTCATTTAAGATGAGCAATTCAAGGCCACACAGGCAGTAAGTGGGGGATCTGAGCTCAGATCCTGTCGCCTTCTTCCTACTCTCCCACGTTCTTTTCCTGCTACTTTATTACAGTCAGAAAGAGATGACCACGGGAAGAGAAGGGAATTAACAACCAAAACAAGTAGTAATAACAATAAGCACAAACAAAAATGTCCCTGAAATCACAGAACAGCAAAATGCAGATTGGGCTTAAAAAGCAAACTCAACAGCCAATCTTTGCTCGCATCTTTCCCATAGCAGAAGATTCCAAAGAAGGAATTTTCATTTTCATAGCTCAAGAATATCAGGAAAAAGTCTAGATTAGCTCTCTACTATTATTACATCTCCAATACTTAAACAACAGCCCAATCCTCCACACATTAAAATAATTCACACCACCCTCATGAGGCTGGCTTACCTAAGTCTACAGGTTTGCTGGTCAGAGCCGAGAAAGTGAGGTAGGTGACGTAACAGCTTATGAGCCCTGACTGCAGGAGCCCCGAGTGTGGCTGTCCTGGAAAACAGGAGGAGACAGATTAAAGGCAGATTTTAAATTTGAACAGTAAGAAAATACATGCGTCAGAAAATAGGTACCTCCTCCCATAATAGTCCTCAAATGTCCATGATTACAGGAATGAAAAAAGGCACATCTGGGTTCCTCAGATAACACTATGAAGATACTAAGGGGGGACATCATACCCTGAGACTAACCACTATTCTCAGAGATGCCAGATTATGCCAAGTTCTATGCCAACACCGTATCAAATCTATAGCTGCACTTAAACATACCAGCTAGTGTTCTTAATGTTCATAACATTAGTTCTTAAATCACAAGATCAGGAAAAAATTTACCATCGTGGTTTATAAGACCACATAGCTTAGTGGGTTAAATGGTAAGCTAGAATTCATAGAGCTTGTTTTCTGGATTCTACAAGGTCATCAGACAGTCCATGAGAGGGCAAAAATATTGTATCTATCAGTGTACACAAAAACCTTTGGGAACACTGAGTAAATACAAGAGGCGGTCCAGGGGACAGGCGTGGTAGCTCACGCCTGTAATCCTAGCACTTGGGAGGCTGAGACGGGTGGATTGCCTAAGCTCACAGGTTCAAGACTAGCCTGAGCCAGAGCGAGACCCCCATCTCTAAAACTAGCCAGGTGTTGTGGCAGGTGCCTGTAATTCCAGCTACTTGGGAGGATGGGACAAGAAAATCTTGAGTTCAAGAGTTTGAGGTTGCTGTGAGCTGTGATGCCATGGCATTCTACCAAGGATGACAAAGTGACACTCCATCTCAAAAAAAAAAAAAAAAAGAGTTGGTCCAGGCTATGAGGAAGGTCATGGGCTCAGCATTCATTGAGAGAAGAGCTTTTAAGTTATAATATTTAAATTAAACTCATTCAGAGAGACCAGGATATGATAGAGGATTTCTCTCTCTCTGTCTTTTTGGTGACATTTTCAACCACCTATAGACATGAAAGGATTTAGTTTTACTCCGTTATCCTTCTGATCAAAATTTGCTTTTAGAATTATCATTATTAAATTATAATTACCAGTAAAGGTATAGGAATAGACCCTTTTAATGTTACTCTTTGGCATGAGAATAAGACTTACCTTAGCAACCAATGGCATTAAATCAAATATTTAAAAATATTATGCGTATTTCAAAAGACTGGATTTAATCCAAAGATTTTAATCTAAAACCCAACAGTCTGCTTTAGGAGTTCTTAACTGATCAATTAAAGGGACTGGGAAAGTAATACTCTCAATTTCTGTAACAGACTTGAAATTTTTAGTGCAGAAAAATTTGTAAATCATTTGCCATTAGTTACAAATTAAAGCCACTATTTTAGAAAGAATTCAAGGGGGGGTGGCGCCTGTGGCTCAAACGGGAAGGGCGCCAGCCTCATATGGCTGGAGGTGGCAAGTTCAAACCCAGCCCCAGCAAAAAAAGAAATAAAGAAAGAATTCGAGGGGGCCATAAATTTATTAGCTTATATTTTCCTTTTCCTACCTAGAAACCTGAATGTCATGTGCACTTTCATCACAGACCAGTGACATCTCTCTCTGTAATCCCAGGACAGCATAGGGCCATGAGACGTCAAGGGAAGCTGATACACTGCTCACACCTATGTTCTCTAAAGCACTTTCGTATCTCACCACCTTCCTTTTGGTTTTGAAAGAACCCAGAGCAAGGCCTGGCTCTTGTGCTGCTGTTGACTTCACTAAGGAAGAACCTGGGTCTGAAGAAGGCTGAATCATGGTGCCCATTGTTCTCTGAGCCAGGACCAGATTCCCTGCTTCCTGATTCCTACACTGAGGTATCCACAGCCTTGAATGAAGATGATCCCTGGAAGAACTCCTTGGAGCCCTCTCCTTCAAGTTTTACACAAGCTTGTAAAGTCTGAGGGCATTTCATATTTAAAGGCTCTATGTGGAACATCATGTAATAAAGGCACTTACTGTCTACCTACTCTCTGCCTTCATAAGTTCCAGTCTTTGAAGAGTGCTTGGCGATCACATCCAGCCCAAGCAGGGACTTTGAAGGGTCTGGAGTCCACCCTTCAGACTACAGACCCATCCACAGTGAATTTAAAAATGACTCTAGCTTCCAAAATATCTACTTGGTTTGCCCAAAGATAACTTACAAAAAACTTAAATAAGAAAGAATGGGAAAAAACATGCTTACGCTCTAGGACTGAAGGTGAGATGGCTACTATTGAGATAAGCAGACACAGGCCTCCATTGATTCCCAGGAGAATTTTGTTTTCCAGGCAGCCGACTTTTTGTGTATAAAAAATTGCCATCGAAATCAAGCCTGCAGCAGCAATGGAATACATGATGAGGGTCGCCAGGGCCAGAGAGGCGTACCACAGCTTGTTACTGGCTGTGCCTGCAGTCCTGTTTCTCCAACAAGTGGGTAAGAGGGAGGGGAGAGAAGACACGTCAATGAAGCCCACCATTTGCCGACAACACTTACCATCCCTTGGGTAGTGACTATGGCTATCAGGCCCCAGGCCATTAGCACCCAGCGGCCCAGAAGATACCTCGTTTTAGCAATGATTATGCTCCAACAAAGTTAGAAGGGTCTGGCTGATAAATATGCAAACTTCTTGGTCCAAGCTTAGAATTTTCTCTAAACATGGGAGAGAATTCCATTTTCTGACTCAAATGTATTTATTAAAATGAATACTGTCAACTCAAATGAGAGACTGAGGCAAGAGTCTCAATCAGTTGAGGTTCATGAGCCAGAGTTTGAGGTTGCACCCAGGATCACATTAGTCATAAAATATTCTGTGACCTGTGCTCCAAGAAAGATCCCAGGAGGCCTGGTGTTTATACATTTCTTTTAAGAGGAGAAGGCATGCAGGCAAAAAGGGGTGGGTGGTAAGCATTCCTTCGATTTTAATTAGTGCCTAGTAAACCTGTGTTTTACATGAGATAAGGTAAACATCCCAGAAAGGAGTAAAGGAAGAGCAGACTATGTAGATGCCTCAGCACAGGCAGAGGAGAGGAACAATAGATGGATAGATCGCATCCTGTCTTTGTCCTGCACTTGGGAAGATAAGCTTGTAGTCGATACTGTCCTATGAAATTTAACCAACTTAAGTTCCTAAACAAGGAGTCAGGCTTAGGCTGCAGACCTAAAGATACGGTTGATATGTTCTTGTTTATGGGAAGGTATACATCTTGAAAGGTTTAGAGACCAGCAAAGAACCTACATAGGAGATATTTCTGAGAGTAGTCACCCAGGGATGCCTGAGGCCCCTCACCCCTGCCATACAGCAAGCTTAGGAAGTCTCAGCTGTCTGACTCGGTCACCAGGCTTCACCTCCCTTCAGCATAATGAGCTCTGGCAGTCCTGGGGTCTTTTATTTTCCTTTACAATACCTACAGACTTTATTCTAGCTTCTCCTTCCTGAATGTGAACTACCTTGGGACAGTTTGGGGCAGCATTAAGGAGCTCATCACTGGGGATCTCTTCAAGTGTTATCTAGAAGTGCAGAGCCCAGGAGTGCCACAGTCTCTTGCTGGTGCCTGTCTTCTCTGTAGGCAAGAAGCAAATGAACGTCACCCAGGACCAGACTGACTGACCTCAGCAACTTTCTTTCTCTATACTGAAAAGGAGGACTTGTGACAGTGCTACTTCTCCAAAAGAGTATCAGGAAATAGCAAGGGAAATTTTAAAATTTAAAAAACAAGTTAAACAATTAGGAGGAATGCGTTCTGGTGGTCTACTGTTCAGGAGGTTGGTGATGGTTAATAGCAGGTGTTGTAAAAGGCATAGTAGCTAGAAGAGAGGCTTTTCAGTGTTCCCACCACCAAGAAATGATAAGTGCACGAGGTAATGAATCTGCTAACTACCCTGATATGAACACTACACAACATACATGTACTAAAACATCAAACTGTACTAAAACATCAAACATGTACAATTACGATATGTCAATTAAAAAATAAAAACAAAGCCAGACATGGTGGCTCATGCCTGTAATCCCATCACTCTGAGAGGCAGAGGCAGGAGGATCCACAGAGCTCAGGAGTTTGAGACCAGCCTGAGCAAGAGTGAGACCCCATCTCTACTAAAAGTTAGCTAGGTGTTATGGCGAGTGCCTGTAGTCCCAGCTGCTTGGGAGGCTGAGGCTGAGGCAGGAGGATCACTTGAACCCAGGAGTTGGAGGTTGCTGTGAGCTGTGACACCATAGCATTGTAGTCTGGGCAACAGAGTAAGACTCTGTCTCAAAAAATAAATAAATAAATAATAAAAATAATACATAAATAACAAAAAATTTTTAAAAGGTGGGAAATAAAATCATTCAGGAAAAAACTAATGGGATGCATAATAAAGAAACTAAAGCAAAGGATTCAAGTGCTTTCTAGTTTACATTAATATTAATAAAGGGAGGGGAGAAGTAAGTAGTTTAAATCTACAAAAATTGTTCAGGGCAAAGAAAAGAGAGTTCATAAATGCTAAATGAAGAGAAAAGCAACAGGGAGAATGGGCTGGAAGAATCACTGTCCCCGCCTTGTGATTAAATTGCTCTTTGTAACCACATTCTCCCAAACCTTCCTTCACAATTTGCTTAATGTCTTCACAAAACTGGAACGTGTTCAAGCAACCCCGCTAAAATGTTTTAATGACATAAAAAAGTTACTGCAGCCAAAGACAAAGAAAACAGGGAGGAAAGGCCAAAGGATAATGACCATCATATTCCTGAAACCAAGCCAGGCATTCCAATGACCTCAGAATTATTCTAACATAAAAGGCACACAAAAGAAATGAGGGAAAATGAGATTTTTAAAAGGGGGAGGGGAGCCCTAAGAGCCAGATAACAATGGACACAGCATGAATTACATATAAAAAGGTAAACACACTAAATGGTGAATGTGGGAGGAGACCGGCTGTGTCTTTACTAGTCTATTCAGTTATGTTATTAGTCTATGAAGGACATTTTTACAGTTAATTTATGTTTATAGCTCAAAGTTAAATCTTCAACTGTAACCCTAACCTCTCTCCCCTGATCTGCGGGCTTGTATTATCCAACTGCTTA